TGCAGCCTCCATCTCATGGACTCAAGCAGTCTCCCTGCCTCAGCCTCCCCAGTGGCTGGGACTGTAGGCACATGCCATCACTCCTGGCTTCACCAGTTTATTATAAACAATATTACCAGCCAGGCATTGTGAAGCACACCTGTAATCCCAGCACTTTGAGAGACTCAAGTGAGAGGATTGCTTGAAGCCAGGAGTTCAGACCAGCCTGGATAACAGTCAGATCCTGTCTCTACAAAAAATAACAAAATTGGCCAGGCATGATGGCGCACATGGTCCCAGCTACTTGGGAGGCTGAGGTGGGAGGATTATTTGAATCCAGGAGTTGGAGGCTACAGTAAGCTATAATCATGCTACTGTACTCCAGCCTGAACAACAGGGCAAGACCCTGTTTCTGAAAAAAACTGAAAAATAAAAATAAATGTTAAGAAAGTATATTATAAATGATACAGATGAAGAGATACATAGGGTGAGGTATAGGGGAAGGTGCTTAGGGCTTCCACCCCTTCTCTGAACCCTGTCCTTTTAAATTTTTATGGAGACTTCATTATGTAGGCATGATTAATTAAACACTTGGCCATTGGTGATCACCTTAACTTTCAGCTCCTCTTTGCCTTCCTGGAGGCTGGAAGGTGGGGTTGAAAATCCCAACCATCTAATTCTGCCTTGGTCTTTCTGGTAACCAGCCCCATCCCAAATCTGCTTAGGGGCTGCCAATCACTGGCCACCTCATTAGCATACAAAAAGACGTCACTTTTAAGATTCCAAGGATTTTAGGAGCTGTATGCCAAGAAGCTGGGAGGAAGACCAAATATGTATTTCACAATATCACAGTGAGGGTATGCCATGAGCTAGAACAAACAGACCAAAGCAGTATAGCTTTTTGACTCTTGGGAGGCCCTGAGAGGTTAAGCAACTTGCCCAAGGCCACACAATGAGTCTTTCAGCCAGATTTTGAACTCAGGCAGTCTGGATCCATGGTCAGTGTTCTTGACTCCTACCTGTCTTGTTAAAAGATGTTTCCAAATTACAGCTATTCCTAATTTTATGTTATTTCATACAATGATTATATATATATATATATATATATTTTTTTTTTTTTTTTTTTTGAGACGGAGTTTCGCTCTTGTTACCCAGGCTGGAGTGCAATGGCGCGATCTCAGCTCACCGCAACCTCCGCCTCCTGGGTTCAGGCAATTCTCCTGCCTCAGCCTCCTGAGTAGCTAGGACTACAGGCACGCACCACCATGCCCAGCTAATTTTTTGTAGTTTTAGTAGAGACGGGGTTTCACCATGTTGACCAGGATGGTCTTGATCTCTTGACCTCGTGATCCACCCGCCTCAGCCTCCCAAAGTGCTGGGATTACAGGCTTGAGCCACCACACCCGGCTATATTTTCAACCTTCTAAAAAATATATATTTAAACTGCTGGGCTACTTTTTTGTGTTTTTATGCAGTATACATCTTTCTCTTTCATTAAATACAGAATAAAAGTCGATCATTTCTAACTAAATTAATGGAGTTATTTCTGAGATTTTACACAGTTGTCTCATGGTATTCACAGAGGATTGGTTCCAGGACACCCCCTCCACCCTACTCCCACCTCACCCTCAGAGTTTACCAAAATCTTTGAATGCTCAAGTCCCTGATATAAAATGGTATACTTATATGCATATAACCTACGCACATCCTCCTGCATACTTTTCATTATCTCTAGATTACTTATAATAGCTAATAAAATGTAAATGCTATGTAAATAGTTATTATACTGTGTTTTAAAGTTTGTATTCTTTTTATTTTTGTATTGCTGTTTTTTATTGTTTGGGGTTTTTTCCCCCCACATATTTTTTTATCCTTGGTTGATTGAATTCAAGGATGCAGACACAGAAGATATAGAAGGCTATTTGGTAGTTGTCTTGATTTTTTGTTTCTAATTGACATAATAATTACACATGTGGGGCACAGTGTGACATTTCAATACATGTATACATTGTGTAAAAATCAAATCAGAGTATTTAACGTATCTACACCTCATACAGCTATACTTTCTTTGTAGTAAGAACATTCAAAATGCCTCTTTTCTAGCTATTTTGAAATGCAATATGATTAACCATAGTCACCCTACTGTGCAACGTATTCCTCCTAACTATAACTTTGTACCCGTTGACCATCTTCTCCCCATCTCCTCCACTCCATTCTCCTCAGCCTCTGGCAACCTCTGTTTTACTCTCTATTTCTGTGAAGTCAACCTCTTTAGATTCTACATATGAGTGAGATCATGTAGTATTTGTCCTTCTGTGCTTATTTCACTTAATGTAATGTCCTACAGGTTCATACATACTGCCACAGATGACAACACCTCATTCTTTTTTATAGCTGAAGAATACTCCACTGGGTATATATGTACCATGTTTTCTTTATCCATTTATCTGTTGATGGACAGTTAGTTAGGTTGCTTCCAAATCTTGGCGTTTGTGAATAGTGCTGCAGTAAACATGGGAGTGCAGATAGTTCTTTCACATACTGATTTCATTTCCTTTGGATATATTCCCACTAGTGAGATTGCTGGACCATATGGTAGTTCTGTTAATTACTGCTAAAAGCTAAACATCAGATTTTTATACATATAGATAGCATACATTTATCAGAAATATATTGCAGTTAATAAATACTTGTAATTTTGGCTGCACATTGCAATGTAGTATGACACAGTATTGAGTAATAGCATATCAATTTATTTTCTGTTAATAAACTTTAAAAACCAGATACATTAAGCTGGGCAAGGTATTGTGTGCCTGTAATCCCAGATTCTCAAGAGGCTGATATAGGAGGATCACTTGAGCCCAAGAGTTCAAGACAAGCTTGAACAACATAGCAAGAACTAGTCTAAAAACAAAAAGATACATTAAATATATTACAGCTTATTCGTTTGAATTAAAAAGTAAAAGCTGGACATAGTGGCTCACACCTGTAATCCTAGCACTTTGGGAGGCTGAGGCAGGGAGATCACTTGAGGTCCGGAGTTCCAGAACAGGCTGAGCAACATGGTGAAACCCCGTCTCTATTAAAAATACAAAAATTAGCTGGGTGCAGTGGCAGGTGCCTGTAATCCCAGCTACTCAGGAGGCTGAGGCAAGAGAATTGCTTGAACCCAAGAGGCAGAGGTTGCAGTAAGCCGAGACTGCGCCACTGTACTCCAGCCTGGGCAACAGAGTGAGACTCTGAAAAAAAAAAAGTGTTTTTTCTAGGAGAAAACATACTTTGGCTGGTTCAACAGTAACAACTGACTTATCATCCAATTCTGCCTTGTTCTTTCTGGTAACCAGCGCCATCCTAAATCTGCTTAGGGGCTGTCAGTCACTGGTCACCTCATTAGCATACAAAAAGACGTCACTTTTAAGATCCCAAGGATTTTAGGAGCTGTATGCCAGGAAACTGAGAGGAAGACCAAATATGTATTTCACAGTATCACAGTGGTGGATATGTTCACTAAATTGGATGAACTAAATCTGTAGCCATAAATTGAGAAAATTGAGTTGACAACTGATACATCATTAAAAATGGATTTTGATAATTAAACAGTGCATGACTTTGGCATATAACTTGTAAGAAACTCAAAGATTCAAGGGGAGATAGACATTACTATAATAATTCTCAGCTGAGAGCGGTGGCTTACGCCTATAATCCCAGCCCTTTGGGAGGCCAAGGTGGGTGGATCACGAGGTCAAGAGATCGAGACCATCCTGGCCAACATGGTGAAACCCTGTCTCTACCAAAAATAGAAAAATTAGCTGGGCATGGTGACATGCCCCTATAATCCCAGCTACTCAGGAGGCCGAGGCAGGAGAATTGCTTGAAACCAGGACGTGGAAGTTGCAGTGAGCCAAGATTACGCCACTGCACTCCAGCCTGGCAACAGAACAAGAAAAGAGAAAAAAAAAAATTCTCACAACTTAGTAATGTGGAAAACATTTCTTAGCATTTATATCTTTAAAATAAAGCAACATCCAAAATAGAAAATAGACCTAGAATTAATATTGAACCTGATTCTTCTAGTGGAAAGCCATATTTATGCATGAGATACATGAAATAATTGTGGGAGGAAAGAGCAGCCCTTCTTATTCCACTATCACTAAGATATGCTTTTCAAGTAAACAAATAGTATAAAAAATTAATCTTTATGTCTTGCTTGTCCTGTACTAATCATTGTAATGATAATGCATAAGAAAATGAATGTTAATTTTTACAGCCTTATGGATTCAGAAGTTAAAGCACATTTTAAAATTTCATTTTATATATATTTTGATTGTAGAAAAGTATGGTACGGTGATTAAAGACAAGCACAAAAAAAATCTAGGATAAAATTGGAGGAAACGAAATGAGAACAGTTTAAGAAATGAAGGATGTAAAAATCCTAACTGTTAAAATAATGTTTTTAAATGGATTTTGGTCATTTTAAAATGTGTTAGGGCTGAGCATACTGGCTCACACCTGTGGTCCCAGTGCTTTGAGAGGCCAAGGTAGGAGAATTGCTTTGGGCCAGGAGTTCAAGACCAGCCTGGGCAGTATAGCAAGACTCCTATTTTTTAATAGAATAAAATAAAATATAGTGTGCTAGATACCAACCTAAAAAAATGTGGGAGGTGACTTGTATGTATGTGCATACTTTCTGGAGAGAGAGATGGTCCATAGCTTTCATTAGATTCATTAAAGGCAGGGTATGTGAGCCAGAAATCAGTTCAGCACAGTTAGAAGCCAGGTCACCAGTCCCTGGTGTAATATTGAGTCTAGCCTCAGCTTGTTCCATATGTCTTTTCTGTACCAACATGTAGAGGTATGGTAGGTACAAAAGTGTGTCTGCTTTTTAAAATCATGGTAGAGTTATACATTCTTAGGGTAGAACTCTTAGTTCAGAAACCTCTTTCCTGTGTATCTCCATCAAATAATTATATTCCTCCTGTGATTGTTTTGTGTATGTAAGTTGGTGGTACCCTCTCTTTCAGTTTGAAGGAAGAAAGTACTGTGAACATGACTTTCAGATGCTCTTTGCCCCTTGCTGTCATCAGTGTGGTAAGTTTTACTGCTAAATGTCAAGTAGAAAGTAAGTTTCCGGCCAGGTGCGGTGGCTCACACCTGTAATCCCAGCACTTTGGGAGGTGGAGGTGGGAGGATCACCTGAGGTCAGGAGTTTGAGACCAGTCTGGCCAACATGGGAAAACCCTGTCTCTACTAAGACTACAAAACTTAGTTGGGCATGGTGGCAGGTGCCTATAATCCCCGCTACTCATGAAGCTGAAGCAGGAGAATTGCTTGAACACAGCGGGTGGAGGCTGCAGTGATCTGAGACCATGCCGTTTCACTCCAGCCTAGGCAACAGAGCAAAACTCCATCTTGTGGGGGGGAGGACAAGTAAGTTTCCAAATTACTTCAGTCATTTCACGCTGGTAAAGTATTGATGGTAAAAATGGTTTTTGGTGCTCATTATGAATAACTGTTGGATACTTCATCAGTCCTCTTCCCTATTGTTAATATATAACAAGCTGGAGAAGTATCAAAACCAGAGATAATTGATTTTAAGGACATTTAGGGTAGAGGTATTTCAGGATGAACTAGGACTCCTATCGGTTGGCGTTTGGGAGTGTTCTTTTCCTGTATTAACACAACCTTTATCTACTTGCTTTTGGTTTTGCCAGGAAAGAGGCAGGGAAGACATCAGTGAGGTACTTGAGATGCTTAGGGATGCTTAAGGGCTGCTTGCATGGAGCATAAGTGATTAACTTGCTTGCATGTTGGCCACTTCACTGGTTGTTAATAGCTCTGCTAGGTTTCCAGAGATGGAAGAAACTGAGTAGAATGTTCTAAAGGTTTAATGAAAGAATAAAGTATGTATGGGTTATAAGAAACTGCTATAGATTTCAGTTGTCTATGCTGACAGTGACTAGAAATAACCAAAAGGCATTCAAGAGAGCCCAGTTTGGAAAGGAAAGCTATATTCAGAGAAGACAGAACAGCCCAAAAATGTGGCAACTGAATCAAAAACAAAGATTCAGATGAAATAAAAACCTTTATTCTAATGTGCTTACTATGGTACACACATAAATAAAAAGTTCTTCTATGGAGAAAGGTTTAAACCTTTTTTTCCCCTCACTGTTTTTCCTTAATTGCTCTCTTAGTAAATAAAGTGCCATGCTTGTTACTTAGGATATTACTTAGTAACATCCTTTGTGTGTTGTTTTCCCACAGGTGAATTCATCATTGGCCGAGTTATCAAAGCCATGAATAACAGCTGGCATCCGGAGTGCTTCCGCTGTGACCTCTGCCAGGAAGTTCTGGCAGATATCGGGTTTGTCAAGAATGCTGGGAGGTAGGTGGATTTTCATTCTTGTCAGATGTGGGTGAATAATGTGACTGTGACAAGATCATGTGTATTCTCCATGTGGGATGTAAGGCAGTTCTGTAGGACACCGAATTGAGAGTATGGGAACTCAAGACACTGCAGTGTGTTGACTGAATGTTGCTGCTGGGAGTGGACCCTTGTGTTGCTGTGCACAGGGCATAACTGCTCCACACATGGCTGAACTACCAACAGGGAATGTACATAGATGGAGTTTCTTAAAGATCAGTCAGATATTGGGGTTGGAACACATTTTCATGTAGCTTGATTCTGCTCTGTTAAAAAGCAGAGGAGTGATTTTTTTTTTTTTTAAGAAATTGTTTAATTTCTTTTCAGAGATAAGGGAAGCATGTTTCTTTTTAACCATTAGAAAGAACCTAAAATTTTAAATTTAAGTTTTGGCTCCGTTTAGACACCTGTGTCGCCCCTGTCATAATCGTGAGAAAGCCAGAGGCCTTGGGAAATACATCTGCCAGAAATGCCATGCCATCATCGACGAGCAGCCTCTGATATTCAAGAATGACCCCTACCACCCAGATCATTTCAACTGCGCCAACTGCGGGTATTGGGATTGTTTCTTTTTTATTACACAGGCAGTGGGAAGGAAAGATTACATTTATCTATATATCTGTTACTCTAGCAAACCAAATTGTTTTTCTCCAATTTTTAGTCTAGAAAATGTTAAAACTTTAGAAGTGTCAAGAGAATGATATAATGAAATCTGTGTACCCTTAATTTTATTTCACCATTTAACATGTTGTCATGCTTCTATGTGTACCATACACATTCTCGTTTCACCCTCCCGTGTATGTGTGTACGTGTACATGTATACACATACCTCTAAAATTTCTCATGACTCAGTATACGTCTCCTGAGAATAAGGGCATTTTCCTATAGAACCACAATACTTTAAAAAAAAATTTTTTTTTTAAATTTTTTCTTGAGACAGGATCTCACTGTATCGCCCAGGCTGTAGTGCAGTGGGCAATTATTGCTCACTGCAGCTTCAACCTCCTGGGCTCAAGCAGTCCTTCCACCACAGCCTCCAGAGTAGCTAGGACAACAGGCACATGCCACCCTTCCCGACTAACTTTTTTAAATTTTTTGTAGAGATGGAGTCTTGCTATGTTGCCCAGGCTGGTCTTGAACTCCTGAGCTTAAGCAATCCACCCATCTCAGCCTCCCTAAGTGCGGGGATTACAGGTATGAGCCACTGCACCTGGCCAGAACCACATTACTCTTACCATACCTAAGCAAATTAGCAATAATCTTATAATATCAACTATCAGTCTATATTAAAATACCCCCAGTATCCCGAGAACTATCTGTCATCACTGTTTTTCCAATAGAAGATCCAAAAATACCTCAAAAAAAGGTCTTATCTCTGTACATGCATTACTTTGACAGTTGTAATAATTAGGTATTATCTTAAAATACATTGTTATATTTAATTTGGCTTGGTTTACATCCAAAAGAAATACATTTAATTTTTTGTCTTCAAAAAGTTATGATAAATTGTTGGGCTATGAATTTTCTAAATTAGTATAAAAATTTAGTGGATAAAGATTCTTTACTGTAGTTAATGTGAACTTACATGCTAAATTATAGTAGGGATGGAGAAGAAACATTAAATATTAATATTAAATATTAAGGCTAAATATTAAGAAAACTGTTTGGTGGTATAAGTTCAGCCATTTCATCTTTTGTGATTGAATTACCAGTTTGTGCCATATCTTGTTTTCTTGCCTATCCTTCCTCTTGGGGGATTCTCCTCTGTCCACTTTTCCTATAGAATTACTTCAAAGGGGTGAAATTCAAACAAGTCCATTTGACTAATTGGAACCATCTCTGACCAAATGTTTATTGATGCAGGAGACTGGAAATAATATTTAATTTGAGTATTTGGAGAAGGAAAATTCTGGGCATGTGTTTATGAAAATAAACCTAAACCTATTAACCTATAGCTCTTTTCAACAGCTTGTGACAATTTAAATAATTGTTAGTAAATGGAACTAGTCTGTCAGCTTCTCAGTTTGCTTGGAAAGGTAGTGTCTTAGTCTCTTTTATGTGCCTATAGCAGAATCCCACAAACTGGGTAATTTGTAACAAACAGAAATTTATTTGGCTCATGGTTCTGGAGGCTGGGAAGTCTAAGATTAAGGGGCTGGCATCTAGTGAGGACCTTCTTGCTGCATCATAACATGGCAGAGGGCATCACACAGGGGTTGGGAGGAGAGGGAAAGGGAGGAAGAGAAGGAAGGAAGCTGAACTCGTCCTTTTATAAGGAACCCACCCCCTCAGTAACAGCATTAATCCATCCATGAGGGTAGAGTCTTCATGATCTAATCACTCCTCAGAGTCCCTACCTCCTGACACCTGCATTGGGGATCATGCACTTTGGGGGACGTATTCACACCATAGCAGGTAGTATTCCTGAGTCTACCCTCAGCACTGTGATTATTCCCTATAGCTTTTAAAGGAAGACCCAAAGGTACTAAAATGTAATGTGATTATATAAGAAGGAAATGATGAATATGACTGGTGTGGTGGTATATATCTAACCTAGTCTTGCATCCTATCCTTTTAAGATACAGATGTTTTAGTGGGAATCTGAAACCTATTCGGGCCTATTAATTCAGGTTACTCTGATCACCTCTAAAGGGAGAAAAAGAAAGTTGCAGGGATTATCATAGTCATCTCTTTAAAAAACCTTTTAAAAATTTTGCTGGCCCCATCGGTTGGCTATTTTTCTCTCTTAGTATTAAGCTGGGTGTCTTTCTCACGGACAGGAAGGAGCTGACTGCCGATGCACGGGAACTCAAAGGGGAGCTGTACTGCCTTCCATGCCATGATAAAATGGGGGTCCCCATCTGCGGTGCTTGCCGACGGCCCATTGAAGGGCGCGTGGTGAATGCCATGGGCAAGCAGTGGCATGTGGAGGTGAGTTCAGAGTAACCAATCGTTTCAAACTTCCGTGATTCAGCGGTAATCAATCCTTTCAAATCTCTGTGATTTAGGGGTAACCAGTACTTTCAAATCTCCGTGATTCAGGTGTCCTGGCAAGATTTAGGAGATTCTAAAGGTTAAGCATGGACATTTTAAAGACAACTGACTTGCTGATGGTTAAGAATATAGAATGTAAGGCCGGGCGCGGTGGCTCAAGCCTGTAATCCCAGCACTTTGGGAGGCCGAGGCGGGTGGATCACGAGGTCAAGAGATCGAGACCATCCTGGTCAATATGGTGAAACCCCGTCTCTATCAAAAAATACAAAAAATTAGCTGGGCATGGTGGTGCGTGCCTGTAATCCCAGCTACTCAGGAGGTTGAGGCAGGAGAATTGCCTGAGCCCAGGAGGTGGAGGTTGCGGTGAGCCAAGATCGCGCCATTGCACTCCAGCCTGGGTAACATGAGTGAAACTCTGTCTCAAAAAAAAAAAAAAAAGAATATAGAATGTATACTGCTTTTGTGAATGTCTCAGTAATGATACAGGATGTGGACTTTTGCTCCTAAAGCCTTCTTGAAGCAGGAAGTGCCATGGCCTGTATCCAGCAGCAGCTCCTCCTTTATAGGTGCTACTGCGGTGCTCATCTCTTTGCTCTTTTTGGGCTATTGTAATAGGCTGTGTCTTAAAGTAACCTGTCAAAGACAGACACATGAATTAAACTGCAAAAGTATTATATTAGGGAGCTACCTATGGCCAAATCAAATGACTATCTCAAACGTTCGTTCATCTTCTCTGAAGATAGGTTAACTTTGTGGTTTATTTTATTAGATATAAAATATGGCAAATCAAAAATGACCTATAGTAATTTTTTTTTCAGCATTTTGTTTGTGCCAAGTGTGAGAAACCCTTCCTTGGACATCGCCATTATGAGAGGAAAGGCCTGGCATATTGTGAAACCCACTATAACCAGGTATTGACCTTAGTCACTGGATGCTAGATAGACTTTTATGAACTTAAGCTTATCAGTAGTTTAGCTACAAGGAAGTCTCTTGGAAGATGTACATTGTTCAGGAGAGATTTGTTTTTAACTATTTAATGGAAATAATTTCAGACTCAGAAGCTAACTATAAAATAAAAAATTAAAAGAATATCTGTATGCCTTTCATTCAAGTCCACTGTTTGCTTTATCATTTCCTGTGCTCAGTCTTGCTGTGTAAAACACATACTTACATAAATATTATACACAAATATGATGGCTGTTTCTAAAGCATTTGCCAATAAATTCATCATATTCCTTTACCCCTAAATACTTCAATATGTATTTCCCAAGAATATGAGACTCTCTAACATAATTGTAGTTGTCAGTATTGATATCATACTTTAACCCACTTATTCCAGTTTTGTCACTTGAGTCAATAATGTCCTCATAGCATTTTTTTCTACTCCTAGACTGGACCCAGTCTAGGGTTGTGATGTTTTTTTAGCCTTCTTAAATCTGGAACATTTCCAGAGCCTTTTAAAATTTTTGATGACATTGACATTTTGGAGGGATGTAGAGGGCCCCAACCCCCTTTTAATAGACTACTTTCCACTTGGGTTCATCTGCTGCTTCTCTGTGGTTAGATGAGGTTATACACGCAGGTTGCAGCCTCACACAGTGGCAGTGCATTCTCTCAGAGCCTTCCCTCTGGAGCCCTTCATAATCACCTCTCTTGCACTGGTGATCTCCCAGGCACTTCCTATCCATATATACTCACAGATTTCTATAATTTGCATTACTTATTTGGGTGCTCAAATTGTCTTCTGGAAAGATTTTTTTTAATTGATGAAAGTGAATGATTTTCATTGTAAAAAGTAAAAATTTGTTAAAGAACTTTTACTAATTTTCTCCAGTAGTGATAAATTCTTGATTTAGATAACCAGCTATTTGTTTTTAAATGTTCCATGTTCTAAAACTTAATTCTAACACATCTTGAACCACCTTTTTTTATTTTCAGCTATTTGGTGATGTTTGCTTTCACTGCAATCGTGTTATAGAAGGCGATGGTAAGTATCTGTGTGAGTTTTAGATTGGTACCACTTTGACACAAAAACACTTTGGTCATGTGGAAATTCAGGTTAGTGATTGCTGTTGTTTGGAATGTGATTGTTATCAGTTGCTTTTTCTCTTTCTTTGGTGTATTTCCCAAGTAATCCGTATTAGTAAGATGATAATATCAAAGAGTTGGATTTGTTACTCATTTATGATACTACTTTCAGCCACTGCCACATTGTTGTATGCCAGCAATCATGGGAACTGCCCCTAGTGGACCATAAGATCTGTTTCTGTCCAGTTCCAGGAAGCTCCATAACAACATTTATTAGGAACAGTTTAATCTGCTATCATAGTTAGGAAGAGCACTTTAACCTGCACGTGCTAAAACCTGACAGTTATCAGCAGGCACATCTAGGACTTACTACCCCTGTACTGTGGTAATTAGGCTGGGCTGATTGACTGGAACAGAAAGGAAGCAGCTGTGTTTGCTAACAGTTGCTAACACAATTCTGCCAGAGACTTCCTGGCAAAGTTTTGAACAATCCTGTTTTCAGCATGATTCATGGCTCCCTGCAGACATCACCTAATTCAGGAAATACTTTTGAAACACTGTTCATGTGCAGTTTGTGGAAAGATTAGTCCAGGAAAACAATCTTTAGTGCCGTTGAAAATAAAACTTACCTCCCTCCTCTGTGAAACAGACGCCAGGTAAAAGAAGTGGAAAAGGAAACTTTCTTGTTATCATCAGCTCTGGAAAAAAGACTCCTACAGACAAATAAGTTAATGCCTGGATTTTTCAAAATCATTTACCTAGTTCATATTTCCTTGTTGGGCCAACAGCAGTAGGTACAGAAACAGCAAGCTCACCTAACCAACATTATGCATGAACAGTCACCACATGTGCCCGGGCCAAGGGGGCACGGTTGCTGTTGTAAGATATGGCACACATCATTTATACCTTCATAGGATACTTAAGAACAGGAAAAGATTAAAGTCAGCCCTCCGTATCCAAGGGCTGGATCCAAACATTTGGTGATACAACCAACTATGGATCAAAAATATTTAGAGAAAAATAACAATATAAAAATAGTACAGTATAATGACTATATATCATTAACATTGTACTAGGCATTATAATCTAGAGGTGATCTAAAGTATATGAGACAGTGTATGTAGGTTATGTGCATTTTATATCAGGGACTTGAGCATCTGAGATTTTGGTATCTGTACAACATCCTAGAAAGAGTATCCTACACATACTGAGAAACAATTGTATATATAAAGGTTGAGGTCCAGGTGTGGTGGCTTACGCCTGTAATCCCAGCACTTTGGGAGGCCAAGGCAGAAGAATTGCTTGAGGCCAGGAGTTCAAGACCACCCTGGGCAACAAAGACTTCTATCTCTACAAAATAAAAATAAAAAATTAGCCAGACGTGGTGGCACACACCTGTGGTCCCAGCTACACAGGAGAATGAGGTGAGAAGATTGCTTAAACCCAGGAGTTCGAACTGTGATCACATCACTGCAATACAGCCTGAACAACAGAGCGAGACCCTGTCTCAAAAACAAAGAAAAGAAAAGAACCTCTCAAGAAAGAGGTTCTTGGCTGGGCCTGGTGGTTCATACCTGTAATCTCAGCATTTTGGGATACTGAGGCAGGCAGATTGCTTGAGCCCAGGAGTTCAACACTGGCCTGGGAAACATGGCAAAACCCTGTCTCTACAAAAAATACAAAAACTAGCCAGGTGTAGTCTGGGCATGGTGGCTCATGCCTATAATCCCAGCACTTTGGGAGGCTGACGCAGGTGGATCATGAGGTCAAGAGATCGAGACCATCCTGACCAACATGGTGAAATCCCATCTGTACTAAAAATACTAAAATTATCTGGGCATGGTGGTGCATGCCTGTATTCCCAGCTACTCAGGAGGCTAAGGCAGGAAAATTGCTTTATCCCAGGGGTCAGAGGTTGCAGTGAGCCAAGATCACGCTACTGCACTCCAGCCTGGCGACACAGTGAGACTCCATCTCAAAAAAAAAAAAAAAAATTAACCAGATGTGGTGGTGCGCATCTGTAGTTATAGCTACTCAGGAGGCTGAGATGGGAGGATCACTTGAGCCCAGGAGGTTGGGTCTACAGTGAGCCAAGATTTCACCACCACACTTCAGCCTGGGCAACAGATCAAGACCCTGTCTCATTAAAAAAAAAAAAAAAGGTCTCCCCTAGGTGCCACAGACGTAGTCATTGCAGTCATAGTTCTGTTTTAGAGTTGAAATTCTAAGCTGCCCTGCTCCCCATACTGATGTATTTCCATGTGACCAGATCTCTTTCCTCTTTGTCTAGTGGTCTCTGCTCTTAATAAGGCCTGGTGCGTGAACTGCTTTGCCTGTTCTACCTGCAACACTAAATTAACACTCAAGTAAGTCTATGGTTTTGTCCAATGTGAATCCTAAGACTGAAAACTTTGGGGTGACACTTAAAAAAAATCCTAGAAAAAGAGAATTAGTTGATTTCTTATTTCCTTTTTCTGTTCAGGCCTTCTGAAAGTAAAGGTTCTTCCTTTAATTGTTCCCTGTTCTTTCTTCTATTCCTTCTTTGTCCTGCTCAAAGGGATAAATTTGTTGAAATTGACCTAAAGCCAGTCTGCAAACACTGTTATGAGAAAATGCCAGAAGAATTTAAGAGGCGACTTGCCAAACGGGAGAGAGAAGCAAAGGATAAGGACAAGCAGAAAAAGAAAAAGCCAGTCTGTTTGTAAACTTTTCTATCCCTCTGTCATCATTTTCACTACTTTCTCCTTTGGTTAGTCCTTTGGAATATGTTTTTGTTCTGTTTCTGTCTTTTTCTTTCTTCCTCCCCCCACCCCCACAACTTTTGGGCATGTATTTGTAGTCATCAGAGATTGAAGCACAAATATTTGTCATCTGTAGAGTTGGTCCTTTTGCATAACTACTAAAATTACAAAGATTAAATGAATATGCCCCATACTTAGTACAGGTTTGTGGTCATATATTTCACTTACTCTGTAGACTCACTCACCTCATTTTTTAAACACCATGTTATACATTTCTATTTTTTTAATGGATTTAAAGGGAAGAATTCTAATCTCTTAATAGACCTTGGAAAAAGTTTTCAAGGATTTTTGTCTAGTAACTGTAGCTTTTAAAATCCTGGTTTTTTGTTTCTTTGCCAAAATCATTTAATTGTTAAATTATGATATTTTTAAAAATATGACATTTTTAAAAACTTATGTTCTATGTTATGTATTATATTATTTCAGCATAGCCAAGCATGCTGGCTCATGCCTATAATCCCAGCACTTCGGGAGGCCATGGTGGAAAGATTGCTTGAGCCCAAGATTTTGAGACCAGCCTGGACAACATGGCCAAATCCCATCTGACCAAAAAAAAAAAAAAAAATTAACTAGGCGTGGTGGCCCATACCTGTAGTCCCACCTACTCAGGAGGCTGAGGTTGCAGTGAGCCATGACTATACCACTGCACTGCAGCTTGGGCAACAGAGTGAGACTCTGTCTCAAAAAAAAAAAAAAAAAAAAAAAACCTTTCAGCATGTTTCACATCTAGGCAAAGTCCATCTGATTTACATAAGACATCATCTTCTGTGATGTTTATGTATGCATTCATACAATGCCCATATGCTATTGTTTATGAATTCATTTCCTCAATGTCTTCAAAGTCTCTTTTAGTCCTGATTTTTATGGGAAGTATTTCAATCCTTGAAGTTCTCTTGAATTACTAGCATGATTTTTCCATTTTTCCCTCAGTTACCATTGTGTTTGGAGCTCTAAAAAATATTTTGTTTCAGTTTACATGTTTCCTTCTATAAAGAGGAATTAAAATGTAAATATAAGATTAAAACAATGAGCTGGGTATGGTGTCTCACACTTGTAATCCCAGCACTTTGGGAGGCCGAGGCAGCAGATCACTTAAAGTCAGGAGTTCGAGACCATCCTGGGCAACATGGTGAAACCCTGTCTCTACTAAAAATACAAAAAAATTAGCCAGGGATGGTGACTGGTTTCTATAATCTCAGCTACTCATGAGGCTGATGCAGGAGAATCACTTGAACCTGGGAGGCGGAAATTGCAATGAGTCGAGATATTGCCACTGCAATCCACTCTGGGCAACAGATCAAAACTCCATCTCAAAAAAAAAAGTAAAAAAAAAAAAGATTTAAGCAGTGGAAAGCTTGCTAAGGTAGTCTCTCTAAAAACAAGAATAATTTTTTTTTCTTTTATCCAAAAAAAAAAAAAAAATGGCAGTTTTAATAGCTTTTGCTCTAAGAAGACCTTGGGAGAAAAGCTGTAAAATAATTCCCAGTGCAGTGTTTTAAAATAGAAGATTTTTCATTTTAAATATGTGTTTAGGAATTACCTTTGTTATTAACATTGTCCTTTAAAATGATCTTGAAGCAAAGTCTAGTTTAATATCATATTTAAATATAGTAAAAATATCAGCAGATTTTATCATTTTTCTTATAGATGATAGTATACCACTAGATTTATTTCATAAATGCTACCTGAATATAATTTCACAGGTACAAGTTAACAAGTTGTATATTTACTCAACTCAAAATTAAACACTGTGGATTTCTACAGTAATAAGCTCCTATAGCTACCTGTTGGAAATGCATTACAGATGGTCAGGAGGCTTGTCTGAAAAGTTATCTTCTCCAGGAGATTTAACAAATAAATTGATATGTGCTCTAGCTTTTCAAAAGAATAGTTGAGTTCTTCAAATAGCCACCATTGACAATACAACCACAGGTGATCTGGTTATATTTATCTAAAGAGTGATTAAAAACTTTCTTCCAACCTTTCTGTCAGATAACCAAAATAATCCCTCATAATTTAAAATTAATTAAACCACATAGCTACCTAATTTAAATTACTAAGTAAGATCATGTTGCCTCCAATAAAGAACTCATTCACATTACAAAAATGTGATTCTTTCCTTTAGATGAATTTATCTTTAAGGTATTCTCAAGGTATTTTAAAATGTGATTACCAGCCTGGGCAATACAGCAGGACCCTTTGGCTACAAAAAATTTTTTTTTAAGTTAGCCAGGCTTAGTAGTATGCACCTGTGTCACAGCTACGCAGGAGACTGAGGTTGGAGGATGGCTTGAGCCCCAGAGTTAGAGGCTGCAGTGACCTATGATCACCAGTCCAGCCTGGGCGACAGTCGAGGCTGTTTCCAAAAAAAAAATACGTGATTGACTTTACTTACGTAAATTATATTTACATTAGATTTCCTGTTTACTTAGTACTGAATAAAATGTAATCTATTAGTCTATGTTACACAGATAGATGTATAGAACCAATTTATAAGGACTTTTTAAAAAATGGTATTTTTTTTTTATATATCACAGTAAGAATTGAGATTGGAATTATGGTTTTTTTTTACTAATATGAATATAGATATCATCTAGTTGCCTTTGTTTAGTTCAGTACAATTCACATTATTTATGTATCTTTGTTGAATACGTTTCTACTAATTTCTTTTTCTTTTTTTTTTTTTTTTATAATGATTGTCTTTAGGAATAAGTTTGTGGAGTTTGACATGAAGCCAGTCTGCAAGAAGTGCTATGAGAAATTTCCATTGGAGCTGAAGAAAAGACTTAAGAAACTAGCTGAGACCTTAGGAAGGAAATAAGTTCCTTTATTTTACTTTTTCTTTTCTTTGCAAGATAAGAGATTACCAACATTGCTTGTCTTGATCTACCCATATTTAAAGCTATATCTCAAAGCAGTTGAGAGAGAAGAGGACCTATATGAATTGTTTTATGTCATTTTTTTCATTAAGAAAAAAAAATTTTGTAATCATGTTTAAAATACAGATGAAGTCAGTATTTGCCTTTGTCAACCCTTATCCATTTGTTGACATGTAGACTATTTACAAAAAACACATGGTTAAATGTTAGATTTTAATTAAGGCCCCCCAAAATTAAATATAACTTTTTTTAAATGACAGGAGTCAGCTTTTACATGACTCAATTGAAAAAAAAAAAAAACAGTATAAACATTAATTTACTTTGTATTCAAAAGAAAATTCCAACTGCTGTTGGGGAAGGATACAGAGAATAAAAATAACCATGCAAGAAAAACAAAAACAAGAAAAATGAGTCTTATACAGTCTTAGTATATTTATCAAAGTAGTAGCTATAAAGTGAATATATACATTACTAAGACAAAAAATAAAAGTATAATTCAGAACTACTTGACTTTTTTTAGTTAAATGCAGTAATTATTATGCTTAGTTTTATAATCTGCCCTCCTTCTGAATTTTTCCTTCAAATGATTACTTAACACAGTAGTTATAGCTAGCTAGTAGGATGTCTTTTAAATTTTTGTGCAAAAAAGATGTATACCAGGTATTTGAAAATATACATTATTGGAAAATGAAGTATTTTTAATGTATTAACAGCAACTGTGCTCCTAAGCTTAATGCCAAGCATGTAGTCTTAGAATAGGGCATGAAATTAAATTGTATGTAGCTTGGAATCTCTTGCTTCAGAAAAGTGAATGCGTATGTCAGTCATATTGCCTTCATAACCATGCTAGTATCTATGCATTATACATATTTAAACTTGCCTTGCCTTAAAAAAAAATACGTAATACATACTTAAATCAGGAATTCTAGCCATCTCACAGAATACCAACTAAAACTAAGTACATTGAGATCTGAGATTGGTAAACCCAGATTCATTTAACACAGCTTTAATTAAATTTTTAAAAAGTCTATTCTTTTTGGGGGAAACCCATTGAAGTTAATTTCTATTATCTTATTAGAAGAGAATGATGTTGATATGTGTTTCAGATTTTTCATTTCAAATCTTGTAATTAATTGGATCTATTTAATATAAATAGGAGATACAAATAACACTCTTAAATTGGAAGAGGGATGTCTTGGTATTCGTTTTAGGTCAAAATTAGTGATTCTATTTTTATCAAAAGTTTTATCCTGAAGTTTCTGGACCACTTTTCCTTAATAAACTTGTTAATGGAAAGCGAGCTTTATGAACATTTTAAAAATGTTGCTGCTGCTTTCTTACTTAAAAAGAAAGTTGCCAAGATAGACTTCTTAGGGAAAAAAATTTTTTTCCCAAAAATTGCTGAAATATTGTTTTGCCATTAAAAAAAAAAAGTCTCAGGATATTACCACTCTGCCATTAAATATTTGTATGCATGCATTTTTTTAAAATTCTGTGCATGTACTTTATGGAGTACATTCTATTTTTGTTTTCAGACACCTTACAACCAATTATTTTTTTAGTAATCTTTTAGAATTAAAACAATTATAAATGATTTAAAATAATATCACATAGTTTAAGATTGTATATGTTCAGTAGTGTCAATCAATCATTGCATTTGACAGTAAGAATCAAAGTCTCTTCAGTGTGCCTTTGTCAGCTAATATGTAACCAGCAGTGATAACCTTGGGAGTATTTATTAAATATTATACTATGAATATAGGCAGAATAGGACAGAGTTTGCAATAGAGAGTCTTGATACTAAATTCTCATATACCTCTACATGAGAAATATGGAGCAGAAAAACAAGCGTTTGCATATATTCTTCATCACTTTGAAGATGCATGGCCTGAACTCGACTGCTTGTGTCTGTTTACATATCAGGCATAGCCAGGCATCTCCTGTAGCCGGAGGTTCCACCGCTGTCTTTGCTCAGTCCTCTTTTAAAATAAGAATTAGTATTTTCTAGAAGTTCAACTTGCTAAGCCTCTAATACTTCAGCGTAGTTTATCTAGATAACAGTACTTTCTTCCCTGATAAGTAATATCATTGGAGCCCTTACATATAAGGAGAAGAGGAAGAAGTTGAAAAAGTGTAAGTGGATTAAAAAAGAAACTTAGTCTAGTTCATATTTTTAATGGGGCTTTCTCTGGCTGCTGGAAAACTTAGGCCAGTAAGCATCTCTTTGTTTAAAGTCCTACAAGGCAATTTGAAATAATTCATTGTTCATGCCAAAATTCTAAGTACTGTTTTTCTTAACAAGCATAATATGATCAGGAAAAATGGGTACAAGTAAAATATTCTTTGAATCATACTCAAAGCCTTATTAACACTGCACTTGAATAATAGGTCATTTTGCCTCACTCATTTGCCAAAGTAGCCATTTCCAAGTTAAGGACATTTTGAGGAAGGCTGATAGCCTTGTTGTATTTCATTTTAGATTGTAAGCTCAATGGCAGGGATACTAAATCGATAATTGTGTTTTCATATAGCAACCACCACAGGTTACTCTTGGTGCTTAATAAATGTTTATAATCATTAACAATAACTTGTATATTATTTAATTTGAATGGTATAGCTATGAAATACATATGGAAATTGAAGTATTCATGAATATGTAATGGAAACATTCAAGTAAATGAATAAAATGATCTGGTTACTATGGATAAGCCAAATTTTGAACCATATAGAACAATGGTGTAGCCTTCACTGTAAATGCTGGGGGGGGGGTTGTTTTTGTTTGTTTTTGTTTTGTTTTGTTTTGTTTTTTGAGACGGAGTCTCACTCTGTTGCCCAGGCTGGAGTGCAATGGTGTGATCTCGGCACAAAGGAGATACAGGCCAAGCATGGTGGCTCACACCTGTAATCCCAGCACTTTGGGAGGCTGAGGCCGGTGGATCACTTGCGGAGTTTGAGAAGCAGCCTGGCCAACCTGGTGAAACCCCATCTCTACTAAAACTACAAAAATTAGCAGGGTGTGGTTTTTCGCACCTGTAGTCCCAGTTACTCGGGAGGCTGAAGCAGGAGAATCACTTGAACCCAGGAGGCAGAGGTTGGTTGTAGTGAACCAAGATTGCGCCATTGCATTCCAGCCTGGGTGACAGAGTAAGACTCTGTCTCAGAAAAAAAAGAAAGGAGATATATAGCTTAATAAAAATTTCAGCAAGCCCTGAGTCACTGTGTGCAGTGTGTTGGGAAGACACTCACTAACATAGAGTATTCCTCTTCCAGTGCTTGATTCACCCAGTTCTGCATCCACCTTAAATGTAGAGAATCCTGGGAGCCCTGTCTGAGTCTTGCATTCCATTTCCTTCCCTGAGGAGGTGAGACAGGTCATCACATCTCCCTGTGGGAGGTGTTGGATGGGGTGAACACAGAGCATGCTAAACCGTAGTGGCAGGAGCCCAGGAAGGGGAGGGAAGGCTTCCTAGAAGAGCTGGATCTTGAACAGAAGCTGGCCAGACAGGGAAGGAGGATAGAGAGTGGGCATCCTAGGCCCTCTTCCATTCCCGTTTTCTCTATTTCTCTTGGCATTACCATCAGTGTAGCTGCCAAGCTAATAACAATTTGACTTCAATTTCTCCTCCCCATAGCCTACATTTGCCCCCACATCTAAGTCCAAAATTCATCATCTCTGCTGTGAAAAGGTCCTAGAAACCTTTCTTCTGCTTCTGACTTTCAGCCCCTGCTTGCCTCAGGCTGTCCTTGCTCTGTACCCATCAGTCACCTTGCCCTTGCTGTCAGCCTCGGATTCGCTCACTGAAACAGAATGAAGTCGAACTCTCCCATGGCAACCGATTAGTCTGTTTTTTTCTCAATGGCCAATCCAAGTGCCACACAGAATTGATTTGTTTTCCCAGATCTTGACCGGCCCTGTTGTAATAAATGTACCCTTCTCGCTTTTGAGGCTCAGCTCAAATATCATCTGATTTGTGAAGCCTTTCCTGATTTGTTTGCTTGTTATTTATTTGTTCCCCAATTTCTTTGTGTGTACCTCTGTCTCGTGGTTCTGATGCGCATTTTAAGTATTGGTTTATGTTCCCATCAGAAGGTTGGCTCCCTTAGGGGAAGAACTGTGTTGACTTTATCACTGTATACTCTGTGCAAGTCACAGGGCCCAGCACCCTATAAGAGCTCAGTGATCACTGAGTGAGTGAATACATGGGCAGTCAGTGTACGTTATGCCCTTACGTACATTCAAGTATTCTAAAAGCTATTAAAACTAAAAATCAGCACACAGACCACAGTCAGGGTTTTCTTCCTAAAAAACAAATCCCTTCCTTGCTTTAAAAAAAAAAAAAAAAAAAAATCTACTTGGGCTGAGCATGGTCGCTTATTCCTGTAACCCCAGCACTTTGGGAGGCCACAGCAGGAGTATTTGAGCCTGGGAGTTCAAGACAAGCCTGAGCAACATAGCAAGACCCCAGTCATACAAAAAAATTAAAAATTAGCCAGGTGTGGTGGTGAGACCCCATCTCTACAAAAAAAATCAAAAAGTTAGGCATGGTGGCATATGCCTGTGGTCTCCAGCTACTCTGGAGGCTGAGGATGGCTCACATCCTCTCCTTAGTCAAGAGATACTGTTCTTGAACATGAGTCTCTATTTCTGAAACTTTTACATGCATATTTCCTCTCTCAAGTGGTAAATTCCTTCAAAGAACAGCAAGAACAGTGGTCCCTAAGTGAAGCTTCATCCGTATTTACAGCCTCTCCTTATCATTTGCATCACTGCCTGAGTTCTGCTTCCTGTCAGATCACCGGGGGCATCAGATTCTCATAGGGGCACGAACCCTATTGTGAACTGTGCATGCGAGGGATCTAGGTTGTGTGCTCCTTATGAGAATCTGATGGCTCAAGATCTGTCACTGTCTCCCATCACCCCCAGATGGGACTGTCTAATTGCAGGAAAATAAGCTCAGGGCTCCCACAGATTATGCATTATGATGAGTTGTATAATCATTTCATTATATATTATAACCTAATAATAATAGAAATAAGGTGGACAATAAATGTAATGTGCTTGAATCGTCCTGAAACCATCTGCACCACCACTGTCTGTGGAAAAATTGCTTTCCACAAAAGTGGTCATTGTGCCAAAAAGCATGAGGACCACTGAGCTAGAGTCTTCTAATGTCGTATACCTGTAATGAGACCTGAACTATTTAGAAATTATCTTCCTGGCAACTTCATCAAATTACAGGCAAAAATTAGGACATAAAAGCCTTAAAAAGACCAAATATTCCAAAGTTCATATCTTTACTCTTAGAAATATCCCTTAGGCCTTGCTTATCAGCTGCTTACTGTAAATTTATACACAGCTTTAACAAATTCCCTGAGTTTTTTTCCTATACCAAACAGAAGATAGCAGATTAAAAATGGGGATAGAGTAGACTAACGGCAAGCAAATTAAAGAGACGTTGAATGTCAACTGTTGTCAGCCACTGTGCTGGAAGATAGTTAAACAATGAAAGGACTTTAGGCCAGGCGGCTCACACCTATAATCTCAGCACTTTGTGAGGCCTAGGCAGGCAGATCACTTGAGCCCAGGAGTTCAAAACTAGCCTGAGCAACACAACAAAACCCCATCTCTACTAAAAATACAAAAAATTAGCCCGGTGTGGTAGCATGCACCTATAGACCTAGTTACTTGGGAGGCTGAGGTGGAAGAATCACCTGAGCCCAGGACGTCAAGGCTGCAATGAGCCATGATCGTACCCCACTGCACTCTAGCCTGGGCAACAAAGTGAGACTTTGCCTCAAAAAAAAAAAAAAGCATCAGCCTATAGTGTGATAAGAATCAATGTTAGAAATATGAATGGGATACAGAGATTGCTCAGAGAGACAGGGTGATTGTAGGGCATCTGCAAGGATTTCCCAAAGGTGGTGATGGCTACAATAGGGTTTGAAAGACATGGAAGGAGCTTTCCAGAGGGAGAAAGGGGAAAGTGGGGGAGTGGGGGGCTTTTTAGGCAAAGAGACCAGCCTGTAAGGAGAGCCTGGTGTGATCACAGAATGGTGAGAATTCCCATTTACTTGAGCGTAACCTCTAATGAGGGAGATGAAGTTGGAGATGGTGGCTAACGTGGACCTGTGTGCCTTGCGCAGTACCTGACATGGCAGAGGCAGTCCATAAATATCTGCTGATTAATTGTCAGACATTGGTCAGCTTTTCGGATGCTGACAACACAGTGTTTTGTCAGCCAAGAATCAGATCCTGGATGGTGGGGGTTTCATCAAAGCCCGACTATCATACGGGGTCCCACCAATCCTCTTCAGGCAACAGCCCTGTATCTCACTACACTACTGCAACCACAAGAAAAGGGAATAATACAAGAAATGATAGGATATACTAGATGATTGATGCCAGAGGAATGGGCTAGTAATGTGATGGGAACTCAAGGGATAGAAAAAGTGAACACTCTGTAATAGAGTGGTCAAGGAAATTATACCAAAGGGGCAAGAGTCGAGCCTGTCTTTGAATAATAAGGGGAAAACTCAGGGTTGGAATTACATGTACTGGGTGTAGTGTGAGCAAAGGGCCTGATAAATTCCTGTTTCCCATATAGCTATCAAGGTCATCCTTTAGTAATGAATTAAGTTCTTTCTTTTCTAACTCAAAATTTATCTGCATATTCACCCAAATATCCAGATCTGACACTGTAGGCTTGGGCTAATATAGTGGGGTGGAAGAGGCTGGGGTTAAGGTTTGAAGTTCCAAGGGCTGAATCAGAATAAATGTTGTATTTATCCGAGGAAGAGCAAGTCCAAACCATGGAGGCCTCAACCAAGGTGAGATGGAAAGTTAGCCTTAGGGAAGCTCTGAGCAGGGACCCCAATTAGCGGGGACAGTAGCTAGGGCATGAGGTTTGTCCAAGAGAGCACTGTGAGATCAGGATCAGAGTTGCTGCAAGAGACAAGAGACCCTACGATTGGGTGGCAGCAGCACGTCATAGAGATGAGCCTGCTTCCTCAGTCTCTTCCTCTTGTCAGAGCCCTTTGCCTCACCCTATAAATGCACACACACATGCATTCACCATGTTACAGAAACCTTTCTCAGTCTTGCCATTCTCTCAAATTATGCATTGGTCTTCCCTTCATCTTCGGACTATTTAGAGTAATCAGAGTTCCCACTTCTACCATGATGGAGTGAAGAGGTCAACAAATCTTTCCAAAATGTAACTATATAGTTGGACAAACCATTTAGCATTCTGTAATTTTACCAAAGGCATAGCACAAATGGGAATGTGTTTAAGAATGAAAGCTGGCCAGGCGCAGTGGCTCACACCTGTAGTCCCAGCACTTTGGGAGGCCAAAGCAGGAGGATCACTTGAGCTCAAAAATTCAAGAACAGCCCAGGCAACATGGTAAGACCCCTTGTCTCTACAAAAAACCAAAAAAGGCATGGTGGCACACACCTGTAGTCCCAGCCACATGGAGGCTAAGGTGGGAGAATCACTTGAGCCCAGGAGGTTGAGGCTGCAGTGAGCTGTGATCACACCACTGCACTCCAGCCTGGGCAACAGAGTGAGACAGACCCTGTCTCAAAAAAAAATAATAATAATAATTAAAGTGAGCCTTGGATAAGAGAAACCTCTGTCTGTGGCATCTTTGCCCAGACTGCTACCCTCATTTCCTCCTGCTGTTGGTAACACACACAGCGGCCC